GATTGCTGTGTAGGGTTAGTCTGAACAAAGTGCACGGTGTTTTAGTACTTGGAAGGCTGTATTTTCGTGTTGGGATGGGTGGTATTCCGAGCGCCAGAAGAAAAGAAGACAAATAAAGGCCGAAATAGGGAGGATCTGTTTATGCTGCTACTTGCTGACGCTTAGTTAACATTCAGTTTGTTTTTTAGAGGTGGGGGAAGGGGCAGACATGCCTAGCATCGTCTGCTTGGTCCCACAGGCATCCTAAGCGCTTTTTAAGTGTTTGCGTGTGATACTGTTGTGTACTTGATATTGTATTGTAGGTGATGCGGGTGTCAGGTGGGGAGCCTGAACCAATGAATGGAATTTGCGCTGTTGTACATTACCCCATGTTTTTTATTCTCTTCATTTTCACGCACAGCCTCGCGCCGCGTGCGTAAGCCAGCCCTGGCGCGCGCGAAGAGCGCTCCTGTAGCTTGGTACAGCGACTTGACCTACCCACTGCACACCAACCAAGCTTAGGGTGTGTGGGTAAGGCCTAGGTAGGCTTAGCGCCGCGTGTGGTGTAGCCTGAGAGCTGGAACCCTGCTATTGTCTCGTGTCTACTTCTAACTATAACCCAAAAACTGTTGTTGAATTGGTGTACGCAAGCCAAGCCCCCAGCCTGGCGTACGCACGCCGGTCCGTGCAGTCTACTGTAACATATCGCCAGTCTACCACGCTTTGGTCAACGAGGAGGGCGATTGAGCAGGCACAGAGCGCTCAAGCACCCGTAATCCGCAAAAAAAAAAAAAGGGGCACCTGCTGGGGATGGATCAATTGCACACCGCCTCCACACAAAACTTGAGAGATGCATGCGTGTTTGTACGGAGAAAATTCAGCTGATGTGGGAACACAGTTTTTACGTGCGAGAAAATTAAGATGCAAGGACCGCGGATGGGACGCCGCCCCCCGCCCGGTTACTGCCGTCCGTGCCCTCATCAGGCTACTGTGTTTCCATCCTGTCCGCGGGGGATACGTTGCGTTACCTACAGCAATACAGCTCCCCAACTCTCCTCCCTGAAACAACGCCCCTGGCGGTGACAAACACCAACTGCCCGTTACTTCCGCTCTCCAATTTTGTCCGCCGTCACCGGTGCCGCCAACGACTGCGGTGCGGTCGACAAGGACCCTCTTATCTCGTCGTCCCGTCTTTGCTGCCATCCACGGGGCCCCCGGAGTCACCCCCCCTCGGTGCCGTAGCCTTGGTCGATCGCTCGGCACCATCAGCAGCGGCCCGCCGTGCCCTTCTTGCGTCCATGGCCGCTTCCACAACCTCCTTCGCCCCTTCCGTGGCCTGCCCGACCCTTGACGCGACGAAGTCGCTCGCGTCGCTCGCGAGCCCGGAAATGATCGGGGTCTCGGCGTCGGCCCCCCCCCCCCCCCCCTCATTTTTACTTCCGGGTTCTC